AGTAGTTTATCATTGTTTTAGATTTGCTTAAACTGTGCTGCAGACTAGTCAAAGAGCTCTCTGAATCTATACTGAGGTGTGTCTTCACCGAATTGTGCTTTGCTGTGATGTCACTGCTAACCCTAGAGGTATGCTATAAGTAGCAGGCCCTTGAACTCATTTTGGATATTGCAAAGGTGTTGTATTGTGGTGTTTCTTGAAAGAGAACCTTTGAGAGTAATGTCATCTTGTAACATTACAAATAATTGTCTTCAGTCCAGGCATGGTGGCACATGACTAATTGTAGCACTGGGGTTGAGACAAGAGGTTTGCTGTGAGTTCAAGACCAATCTGGGATATATAGTGAGTTCAAGGCCCTCCAGAATTGCGTAGGGAGATCCTGTGTCAAAACAAATAATTGTCTTCAGTCAGTCAGAAAAGAATGGTTTTTCAGCCAGGTATGGTGGTGCATACCCTGTGATCCAAGCACTTAGGAGGCTGTATCTGAGAATTAAGTTTGAGGCCAGCGTCGGGTACATGATGAGGCCTTGTCCTCAAAACAAAGGAAAAAAAGAAATGGGGAGGGGGATGCCTTTTCCATTCTTAAAGCAATTATATGGCTATGTGATCAGATTTTTATATCAGCTTCTGGAAATCTTGAATGCATTAAATTGTCATCAGAAATTAAGTATCAGCCAGGCATGGTGACAAAAGCCTGTAATCCCAGCACTTGGGGAGGCTGAGGCAGAATTCCTGTGAGTTTGAGGCCAGCCTGAGTTAAACATAATGAGTTAAAGGCTACATAGCCAGACCCTGTCTCAAAAAAGAAAAAAAAGTGTTATCTACTACTTTAGAGCTGCAATTGTAGGCTGTTAGCTTTGTGAATTTATAGGACTCTAATAGGCATTTTAAAGTGCCTTTGGTGTTTTTTTCCCCTTTTTTCTGTTTTCAGACAAGGTCTGGCTGTGTAGTCCAGGCTGGCCTTGAACTCACTGTGTAGCCCAGGCTAGCCTCTGACTCTCAGAAATCGTCCTGCCTTACCTTCCTGAGTGCTGGGATTAGCCCAACTAACTGCCTTTGGTGTTTTGAGACAAGACTGGCCTTGTAGCTCAGGCTAGCCTTAGCCTCCCTTAGGTTGAGATTACACATGTGTGCCAGTGTGACCAGCCTGAAGCACATTTATTTTTTTTTCCGGTACCGGGGATCAAACTTAGGGCCTTGCATTTGCAAGGCAGGCAACAGCGCCATTGAGCTAAATCCCCAGCCCCCTGAAGCACATTTTTACATTGACATGACATTTCTTTCTTTTCTTTTCTTTTCTTTTTTTTTGGTGCTACTAGCGATTGAACTCAAGGTCTTTGCACTGAAATACATCCCCAATCCTTATTTTTAATTTTTGTTTTGAGACAGGGTCTCTAGGTCACTAAGTTGCCCAGACTGGGTTTGAATTTGTGATCTTTCTGCTTTAGCCTCCCAGAGTGTGGGATTATAAGTGTGTGCTATGCCCCACTCCATATGCCTGACTCTATTTAATATTTCTAGTTTCTTTCTCTCTCTCTCTCTCTCTCTGAGACAGGATCTCACTATGTAGCTGAGGGTGGCCTTGAACTCTTGGCAATTCTCCTGCCTCAGCCTCCCAAGTGCTGGGATACAAGTGTTTGCCACCACTCCTGCCTGGCTACTTTTCTCTTTTTCTTTAAAATATTTTATTTTTTTCATTTAATGTTTCTCTTTCTAATTTCCAATTTATATTATTTTGCATTTTATGTATCTTGGTTAATTACCTTTTACTTGGGGCAATTTTCTTTTCTTTTGGCGGACTTCTGGGGACTTAGAACTTCACGAGTGGGAGGCAAGTGTGCGCTCTACCATTGAGCTATACCATTAGCCCCAGGTAAGATATTTAAAAGTAAGCCCCAGACTTTTATAGGAACTTTACCTTTTCTCTTCTGTATATTTCTTTCCTTATATACATTTTATTTGGAAGTGTTCTATTGTTTTCCCCACATAGGTATAGTATGGTAAATGCATATTTTAAGGGTGTTACGGGCTTGTCTCTAGATGTCCCCCCAAAGCCTCATGCGGTCATGGGGGGGGAGCTTTTCAGAGGTGGCTGGATCTAGAGTTGTGGGGTGCTGGGATCAAGGGTGTGTGATTACTAAATCAGTCTACTGATGGGTTTGGCATAGTTCTGGCTAGGATTAAGGGTGTGAGTGCTACACCTGCCCTAGGACAGGTATCCTGCATAGAATACAGGGGACAGAAAGAGGGCTAATGTCCTCTCACCTGCCTGCTTACTCTGGACTATCTTTCCTATGTGATGGCCCTCTGGCATGCCACCCTGCCTGGGACCCAGCCCACTATGGACTGAAACCTCTACAAACAGTGAGCCAAATAAACCTTTCCTCCTTAACCAATGAGAAAAGTAACTAAGACAAAGGGAAAAAGGATCAGTTCAAACGTTGTTTTCTTTTTGTTGCTTCTGTGACATCTTGTTCCTTGCAGATAGTTGTTCAAGGCTGTTGGCCCTGAGAATATATCTAGAGTAGGACTGAATATATTTTTAGTGAACTTTTCACTCAATTTTCTTTAACCTTAAAGTATTATTTTGTGTTTGGCTCTTTTTACATATGTGGGGCCTGGGGATTTAGCTCAGTGGTTCCACTGCCTGCCTCGCAAGCTCAAGGTCCCAAATTCGATCCCCGGTACCAACAAAAACAAACAAACAAAATACATGTTTGCTCTTGGTTCTTTTTCTGATATCAGCTGGTCAGTCTATCAGGATCCCATTTCTTCTTACAAGAATTTTTAATGGAGAACGTTATATTTTTTATAATAATCACTTTTTCTTAGTCTTTTTTTTAGCATCCCATTTCTTAATTTCCATTCTTCTTACTCTGATTCTTCAGTCGTGTATAATTCTTTATAATGTATAATCACGGATGTAGCATGTCATGCATAATCACTAGAAGGGATTATACATAACTGTCATAAACTTGACAGAGTGGTTCATGATAGGTATATAGAAAAGCTGGATGGACACTTGTATAGTTGAACAATGTTTATATATCCAGAATGGTGTTTTGATCAGTTTTTGGTAACTAGGATGGACATTCTGTTGTTTTGCATCAGAATTCCTGAACTTGGCTTGATCTAATTCCAAAATAGTCATTCAAATAGTCACTAGCAGACATTTGCTGTATATAGTAAGTTTGTAGCAATCACAGGAATTGAATACTTTTAAGTTGGTTGATAAAATCAGGATTTAGAAAGTTTTCTACAGGCTTGAACAGTTGGCCAAGAAATTTGCTAAAAATTAGGATGAGTATTGGTTTTGAAAAAATGTGCCAGTACCACTTGTGGAATGATAGCTAGACTGGGAGCTTGTGAGAAGACCTATACTGGTCATCTTTTGTGTTGTAATAGACTAGGCTATTCTGAGGCTAATAAAACCTTATACAACCCTAAAATCTCAATGGCTTAAAAGACAAAAGTTTCTCATTAGTTTAGATTGGCAAAGGTCCATGTTTACTGAGGTTACTCGGTAACAGCAGCCACCATCACAAATGTTCCAGAGCAGCTTTTTCTTTTTGGAGACAGGGTCTTGCTGTGTAGTTCAGGCTGGCCTAGAACTGACTATACCCTAGTCTGGCCTCGGAAGTCATGGCAGTTCTTATGGCAGTCTCTGCTGAGATTATAGGCATGCACCACCGCATCCAAGTCTAGAGACTTCTTGAGGCTCTTACTCTTAACAGTTAAATACCCTTGCCACAAGTAAAAATGGAGGCACTTCTGTTCATAAATTACTAACACTTCTAGTCCCATGGTGTCTCCTGACCACAATGGGGCCAAGAAATGTAATCTTTACTGTTTGCTGTAGAGGAAAGAATCAGAAATATTTGACAACACCATTAATGACTACAACAGTAGCACTAGCACATAATACAGAATTTGGCATATAGTGAATAGGCACTCAGTAAATATATGTTGAGTGAATTGCAAAGTCCATATAGCTGCTAAATTTTTATCTCTGTAATGAATGTTTGGAAAAGAATACCTGGATGGCTAGTAGGTTGTTATAGTAGAAAACCTAAGCCAGTGATGGTGAACCTTTTAGAGCTTTCAATGATAGCAAACAGCCTGCTGTGATACATGGGTCATAAGTTTGCCACCACTGACCTAAACAGTCTTTATTTTTTATTATTTGCAGTACTGGGAAATGAACCCAGGGCCTTCACTCTCAGGTACAGCTCCAGCCCCTCTTAATTTTTTTTTGTTTGTTTTTTGAGGCAGGGTCTCACTATGTAGTTCAGGCTGGCCTTGAGCAACTCACTATGTAACCCATTCTGGCTTCACTGCAGTATCCTGCCACAGCCTCTGCAGTGCTGGAATTAAAAATTTTTTTGAGGTAAGCTCTTGCTAGGTTGCCTGGGCTGGGCTTGAACTTTTCATTTTCCTACATCAGCCTCCCAGAGTGCTGGGATTACAGATATGTGCCACCATGCCCAGCTTCTAAACAATCTTTTTAATACTTGAGTTTCTACAGCTGTATTTGCCTCAAGTAGTACCTTTTTCTCAAGCATCTTTATTCTTTTTCTCTGTTCTTCCTCTTGACTCCTATTAAAGTTTATAAAATAAATGAAACTGCAGTGACTAATCTACTACTACAGAGGACCATGAAAGCTGTTTGGGCATGTTGCTTATCTAGGCCATATGTGTAGGATTATTTTTTTTTAAATTTTTTTATTTTTTGGTACCAGGGATCGAACTCGGGTCCTTGTGCTTGCAAGGCAAGCAACGGAACCACTGAGCTAAATCCCTGGCCCAAGTTTTTTTTTTTTTTTTTTTTTGGCGGGGGGATTATTTCATTTTAAATGGATACAATGTTCTTATTAGCACTAATTTTGATGTTTATTGAATTAGGGTAAAGAATGATCCACTCCTATCTACTTTCAAAATGGTCTACTCACAGAAGGTAGAAAGCACAGTATATATAAGAAGCTGAGCATCAGGGCACATACCTGTTGTCACTCCTTGGTATGGAAGAGTCATTTGAGATCTTGAGTTCAAGACCACCCTGGGCAACATAGTGCAGACCTCATCTCAAAAAAAAGAGAAGGTATACATAAAAGTTAAAATTGGTCTTTAGGACATAAAATAGAAGTTGGTTTTCAGATTAATGGTAGTTTAAGGTAGCTATTTTTATATAAAGAGTAACTTTTTGTTTAATAATTTTGAATACTATATTGCTGAAATGTCAGCAGATGTTAGAATCCTATTAATAACCCTAAAGTAAAACTAGTTCAAAAAGCACAATCTTAAATTATTCAACACTTTGTATACAGATTAGGTGAAATACCATTCACTCTATGATTTGTTTTCTTAAATAAGACTTGTTATGCTCAATTTGCCTTCGCAATTTGAGTCGCTGGAATCTGTTCTATTTTTACTTGTGGGTCTACCTCCTGACAGCTGTCTCTAATTTCATGCTATGTGAAGATTAACAAGTGATCTTGTAAGATGAGAATTGTGTAATAGGTGACTATTAGAAGAGTAAACAAGTCTTACTAAGTTGGTAAACATTTGTTGTTGTTTTTCAGTTAAAGCAATGCAGGACCAAATGTCTGTTGATACTGTGACTAAAGAAACTTCTGTAATAAATTCAGTGGTTGGCAGATTGCCTGGTAATTGCTAGAAATAATCTTTTTTTGTGGTATTATTGAAGTTTTGTTATATTTAATTTTTTTCATTAAGTTTATTAGTACATTTTAGGTATACAATACAGTTACATTCATCATTGGGAACTTGTACCTTTACATGATGTATCTTTTTTTTTTTTGTGGTACCAGGGATCGAACTCAGCACCTTGCGCTTTTGAGGCAGGCGGCAGAACATGATATATCTTGGTTCTTATTTTTTCTGCATTCCTCTGGCCTCCCTTCAACCCCTCCACCCCTCCCTATTTACAAAGACTTTGTTTCCATTTTTTCCTTTTCCTTCTTTTCTTTCCCCTACCCCTCCTACTTCCCCTACCCCTTTAGACCTTTTCTTCCTGTTTCACATTATCAGTTATACATTTTGATCCTTATTACACTTTTAGTCTCTCACACCAGAGAAATTATTCGGTATTTACACATTTATTTCCTATTTATTTCACTTAAGAGTATGACCTCAATGTGCATCCATTTAGCCATAAATGTCTCTAATTTCTCATTCTTTACGGCTGAGTAGTATTTAAAAAAAAAAATCTTTATCCAGTCTCCAGTTGATGGGCAGTTGGGCTGTCTCCAAGCTTTATTTATTAACAGACTGTGCCACTATGAACATGGGTGTGCATATATCACTACTGTATGATTCCTTTTGTTATATTTAATTTTTAACCTTTTTTTTTTTGGTATCAGGGATTGAACTCAGGACCTTGTGCTTTCGAGGCAGGTGGCGGAACCACTGAGCTAAATCCTCAGCCCAGTTTTTAAACTTTTTAAGGGATCAATAAAAGCAATATATGGAATGTTCACAAGTTATTGGAAATAAGCCAGAATGTTGGATTTTTAAAAAAAGTCTTAGGAGCTGGGGGTGTAGTTCACTGGTAGTGTGCTTGCTTAGCATGTGTAAGGCCCTGGATTTGATCTTTAGCACTGCAAAAGTATAAAAGTTTTATAGAGGAAAAATTATATCTTAATTTTCTTTATAAAAATGAAAGCAGACCTGGGCTCCATTATGCATGCCTGTAATCCCAGTACTTGGGAGGCTGAGGCAGGAGGATCACTGAGTTCAAGGCCATCCTGGGCTATGTAGTGAATTCAAGGCAGTCTGAACTGAACCTACATATTCTCAAAAAAAAAAAAAAAAAAAAAAAGGCGGAACAGTATTGTTTAAAATCCGAATTGAGCAACATTTAAACTTTGCAGGCCAGTGGGATCTCCCTGAGCCTTGGATTGAAAATGTTATTTGATTATTTTAGATTACTTTTTGTTAAACATTGCAGAGATGACCCAATGACACTTTTTCCTGTCAAAAATAGGAATGAACACTAAGTTGCTCATTATGGGCCAGGAGCTTTCTTCTCTTTCTTGCTGACCATTTGATACTGTCACTCTACTTGTCCTCAGGCTTCACAAAAAGACTGTATCAAACTTTATTTTTGGGGGGTTTTTGAGACAGTGTATTGCTTTGTAGTGCAGGCCAGCCTTTGAACTATGTAGCCCAGGGTGACCTTGAACTTGCAGCAGTCCTCCTGGCTCAGCCTCCTGAGTGCTGGGGTTTCAGGCTTGCATCACCACACCTGGCATCTGTATCAGACTTTAGTAATGAATTAATTTATTTTAAATAGAATTTAAGTGTTCTGAGGATTAATGTTTGGAAGTTGAAGTTTGATCCTTGTTCTTGGTTGCATAAATGCATATAATAAAGCAAAACTTGTTTGATGAATTGTGGGAAGTTTCTGAAGGTAGATAAGTTATCCTGTATTTTTGCACAGTTTAGCTCACATCATTTTTTAAAATTCTATTTCTTAAAATAGATATGCTCAACCCTTTATTTTTAAAATTTAAAAAAAATAAATTTTATTTTATCCCATTCCCCCTTCAAGCCCACTCCCCTCCCTATGTACAAAAGCTTTATTTCCATTTTTTCCTTCTATTTTCACTTTTTTTCTTGCCCCTTCTTTCCTTTCTCCGTCCCTCCTCTCTGTGCCCCTTCCCATTTGAAGACTTTCTTCCCATTTTCCAACATCCGTTATATATTTCAGTCCTTATTTCCACTTTTGGTTTCTCATACCAGAGAAACAATGTGGTATTTAAACATATGTGTCCAATTTATTTCACTTAGGAGTGTGGTCGCAGGGTCCATCCATTTAGCTGTAAATATCTGAAGCTCATCCTTCTTTATGGCAGAGCAGTACTATGTTATATAAAAAACACATCTTTATCCACTTGTCAGTTGATGGGCATTTGGGCTGTTTCCAAGATATAGCTACTGCAAACTGTGCTGCTGTAAATATGGATGTGCATATATTCCTGTGGTATGATGCTTTTAATTATTTTGGGGAGATACCAAGAAGAGGTATAGCTGGGTCAGATGGAACCTCTAGTTTTTTGAGGAATCTCCATACTGATTTCCACAGTGGTTGCACCAGTCTACACTCCCACCAGCAGCGGAGCACTGTTCCTTTTTCCCACAGCCCCTCCAGCATTTGTTATTGGTTGATTTCTTGATAGCAGCCATTCTTGCTGGAGTGAAGTGGAAATCTCAGCATTGTTTTAATTTGCATTTCACAGATGACTAGTGATTCAACCATTTATTTTTATTTTTTAATTAAAGTTATAACATTTTTCTGGGGTCTTGGCTGCTTGTGGCTTCCCAACTCCACCTTTATTCTGAATCTGTGGCATTTAATTGGAGTAGATAGCTATGTGGTACATTGTCTTTCTAGTGTATAGCCAGTTGGGTAATTTATATTGACTCTAGAGTAATATTACTTAAAAAAAAAAAACCCCCCCCCCCAAAAAAAAAACCACCCAGGGAATTTCAGGAGAATTACCCACAAGGTGTTACCTACCTTCCTTCCTTCCTTCCTTCCTTCCTTCCTTCCTTCCTTCCTTCCTTCCTTTCTCTCTCTCTCTTTCTTTCTTTCCCTTCTTTTCCTTTCTTTTCCCTTCTTTCCCTTCTTTCCCTTCTTTCCTTTCTTTCCTTTCTTTCTTTTGTACCAGGGATCAAACTCGGGACCTTGCACTTGTGAGGCAGGTGGCGGAACCACTGAGTTAAATCGCTGGCATTTATTTTTATTTCTTACTAAAAGGAACTGAGGATCTTTGGAGAAATAGCTGATTCTAAGTCTGGGACTAGAAATACTTGGAATATCTTGTCATACTAGAAAGCAAGAAAATGATCAAGAATTACTGGGGCCAGCTATTTGAAAGGCTTCCCATTGGAGACATTGCTCACTGGTATGATGTGGTCAAATTAAAAAAACACAATACATGGGGATTAAAACATAGGGACTAAAAAGCCATTACCTTTCTAATACTAGGACCAGTAACACCAACAGGATACCTTAATGGTCACCTGTGGAAGATACTAAAGAATCCAGTATTTTAATTCTGAGGGCAAAAGGAAAGAATCAAGCATTCCTCTTTCAAGGCTCTCCTGGATAACCAAATTCAATGGACCCCTCCTGATCTCTTGTTTTGCCTTCTAGTATTTCATTTATCCAAATATTAACCTCAGTCTGAAGATACTAATGGGAAATTCCAGAAATAAAAGATTTATCTTTTAAATTGTGTGCTATTCTCAGTAGCACAATGAAATTCATGTCATCTTGGTGCATTCTACTCAGACATGAAATCATCCCTGTATTTGGTGTGCAGACTAAATCACCTGTAGTTATTTAGTAACTGTCCTAGAGTGCTAGTGCTCAAGTAATCCCCCGCACTTAACTTAATAATGGCCCCAGAGTATAAGAATAGTGATGCTGGTGGCAATTCATTTATGTCAGAGAAACAGTAGAGTACTTTAAGTGAAAAGGTAAAAGTTCTTGACATGATAAGGAAAGAATCAAAATTATATGTTGAGGTTGCTAAGATTTACTGTAAAAACAAATCTATGTGGAGGAAAAAATTTTTTTCTGGTTTTGCTGTCACACTGTACACTACAAAAGTTATGGTTGTATTGTGTGATAAATGCTTAGTTAAGATGGAAAAGGCATTAAATTTGAGAAAAGACATGAACGGAAACAAGTTGTGATTGACAGCAGTGTTTTGTGCCAAAAAGCATTGATCTTCTACAACCACTCAACATTATTGTTGTTAATTTTATTGTGCCTAATTTGTAAATTAAATTGTATTACAGGTACATATAGGGAAAATGTAGATATAGGGTTTGGTACTTTCTGCAGTTTCAGACACCCCTAGGGGTTAGAAATATATACCCTTCTGATAGGCAAGAACTACTGTATAGGGTATAGAAGAACATATTCAAAGACAACATGGAGTAAAATCAGTAACACGTAGAAAGGAGGAAATTCAATAGGGCAAGTATCTTGGTTTTTTTCCAATAAATAAATGATCAGAAAAGGCTCAAGGGACCTGTAAGTTAAAGAAGTGTGTGTGTGTGTGTGTGTGTGTGTGTGTGTGTGTGTATTTACTTATTTATTTATTTTCGAGACAAGGTCTCACTATAGTTCAGGCTGGCCTTGAGCTTACCGTGTAGGCCAGCATGGCCTCATACCTGCAGCAGTTCTCTTGCCTTTGCCTCCTTCATGCTGG